AACGCATGGGGGATTTACACAAATGGATTAAAGACCTCCATAACTATAAGTGTTTAAAAATCTTAACATATGAAAGGTTCAAATCAACTTATCAATTATTGCCAGAAGACAATTCAAAAAATACCCGAAAGTTTCAATACTCATACAGAGATAGTTTCAAATTTTTCATTCTCAATATGATAAAATAAATGTTTTAGAATGGATAACATCACCTAAACCTCCATTAAAATTATATTTATGTGACTGGGTTCAAGATAATTTATTGCAATATGGTGTAATTTTACAGCGCTCAAAATTAGGACGTGCGAAGAAAGCTGCAATTAAATTTTTAAAGGAACTAAATAACTCCAATAAATGAAATTATAATAATATTAACGCGGCCCAAAATTTGCCAAGAAGCTTATTTGTTTGAGAATGGTATTATTTTAAAAAAGGAAGATAAATTAGAACTTGATAAGATTCCTTTTACTGAGGATAGTTCAACATTTGGCATTCCTCTAAAAGATTTTAAGAATTCAAAAAATCAACATTCAAAAACGATTTATTGTCAAATAATTTTTCAAACGGTAAAGATTACTTTCGACCTACAGGAAATTAAATATTTAAAGGAATTCTTAAATGCAAAAAGTTTTGAATTATCAAATAATGATTCATCGAAAAATCTTTGCAAGTTGTTTGGATATTTATTACCAAGAACTTTTACTTTAGGTGGAGTTTTATCAAAAGAATACATATTAAATAATAACCCCACAGATTTCTCAACATTACAATTACTTAATAAAGAGAATGTACCCGATACACCTCAAAAAATTGTGCAATTATTAGAAACATGGAATAATAAATATGAAGATGTTAATACTTCATTTTTTAATAATAAGTGAAATATTATTAATCGCGGCAAACTTGGTGATTGGATAAAAACTCTTGCGGATGGACCAAATAATTGGAAAGTGATATCTTCGGAAAAAATTATATGAAAAAATCTAATACTTCTGATTATTATATTATTAATTGAACACGATTATAAAGATGGTTGAAAATAAATAATGGCCATCGGCATCGATTTTTCAGTACAAATAGAGCCGTAATTTATATCGCAATCTAAACCGAAACCAAAACATATATTGAATATCTTGATCTAGGTTAAATGTCGCAATTTAAATATATTGGAAGCATTATAGATCACAGGTTGGGATCACATATTAATCAAAGATAGTAATAAAAATTTTTAAAGTTTCGTCCACATTTTCTTGATGAGGTTTATTGGCACGAATTTTTTAATACTGAAAAATCCATTTCATCAACTTTCTCCTTTATATGATTTCTTGCTTAATTTCAATGCTAATTCTTAGATATTCAAATTTTCAAATGATCCAACTCTTTTGGCTTTTAATGTATTCGAGATTTACCACATTTACGTTTTTCACGATCTTTGAAATAGCTTTTTGAAATTCCGCACTTCTTTTTGAGGGCTTCCAGTTGAATTTTTCTCATTTTGTGAACAAAAAATAGAATTAGATGAAAATGAAGAGGCAGAGAACATACAATATTTCAAATTGAATATTACTTTTTGTTTGTTTAATATTGTCAATTCAATAGGAATCTCTCATTTTTTTATAAAATTTATATTTTTATTTATTAATAAAAAATAATGATGAAAATTCTGACAATATTTTAGTCTATCAGAAAAGAAAACTTTAATATCATTATTGATGATAAATAATCAAAGTCAAATTTGATCCTAGTAAATTTTTTTGAAACTTTAAACAAAAATAACTTAACCAAATTTAATATAAATTAATTCTAAAATCTTATAGAATTTATTTAAAAAAAATAAAATAAATTTAAATTATTCTTGCCAATGAATCTTTGTTTAAAGTTGCAAAAATATTTCACTAAAAAGATCTGGTGCGTTTCTATTGACTCACCCCATATTTTGATTGCATATAAGATGGTAAAAATCAGTTTAAAAACTTTTTCACTGATTTGAAACAAGTGATAATTAAAGTTCGAATAATTAATTCTAGAATTAGGATTATAATCATCAACTGTATAAAAAACATTTGCCATCCCCGACAGACAAAATCTCGACCTGGGATAAAATTGCCAACCAAAAAATTTCAACCAATCAAGTTGCAAGTCAATTTCACTAGTCAATCAAAATTCAATTATTCTCGCTCAGATTCCAATATATTACAGTACAATTTATTTTTATTTATTTTACTATAGAAAAAGATATGAATACTGCTTACTGCACATTATGCGTTATATAACTATCCTTGATTTTAGTTTCTGATTTCAGAACAGTGTGGGGTGTTCACAGCTGTCAACAATAAGAATAGTGTAGGGATTATACAGTCATAAACTCATATAAAGGCTATTAGTTCTCTTAATTGTGCGATATTTCAAATGGTTACTCAGCTATGAATAGAATCGAAAGTTATAATACTTGGTTTCCATTCTAATTCCTTTTTCCCCAGAACCCAATCATATTTATTTAAGTGACGTCCTCGTGTATGTTCAACTGATTCATGACCTCATTATTTCATATTCGGACGTATGGTGCAAACCAATATAAGAATCGCCCTCTGCGCATTAATTTAAAACTTACTTGTAAAATTTTATATAAGTTATGCCTTCGAACCATAAACTAACCTAACAGCGCGAAATTTTTACTTGGATAACGATTTTACTCCGATCCAAAATCCCTGCTATAGTGCAGGACATCTACACTTAACAGTTACACGAGTGTTTCAATTTTTAAACAGCTACGTATAACTTTTTACACAAGAGATTTTTAAAAAATCTGACCGGTAACTTTATAGAGCTATATCAGCTCTAAATATTTGCCAAATATGTAGAGCTAATATAGCTCTTTAAAGTTACCGGTCAGATTTTTTTAAAAACCTATTGTGTAAAAAGTTATAGCTGCTTAAAAAATTGAAACACTTCGTATAACTGTTGAGTATAGATGTCCTGCACCATAGCACTAACCTAATATAACCTTTATGCTGGTTAGTGTTACAATCCAGTCATAATTTGATTGGACCCGATAGCATATAATTCAGCCAGGTGGGGTTCGATGGTTGGGAATAAAAGAAAGGCAAATCATTATTTTATTTACTTTATTATAGAAGGGCGAGAACTCTTCTTTTTATTAATTGAGACAGCCTGTGCTTTTATACATTTTATGATCTTAAGAGACCTGACCTTTATGCCTTCACGTCAGCCTCACAAGCCTCTTACACAAATTAAAACCATGACACTCCTGTCGTGAAGGTTATAGGGCAATTATCTGGATCAAAATATTTTTGCATTACATTATAAAAGCTTTATTATTACAAATCCATACATAAGTTACGTATTTAAATAGATATATGTCTAAAACTAAAAAAATTTATTTCTATTTTTATATTTTGAGACTTTTTTTTACTTATTGCTGGTGCTGCCCTTGTCTTTTCATTTCAGTAGAACTACCGGCTCGTAGTTCCTTTTGTAGGCATTATATTTTTGCATTTAGATCTTAGTATTACTTATTCTGAAGTGTATTATATAGTATACTGTATTTGTAAATAATTTGTTTTTTTTGTTAGATGCAGTATTGATGGAACAATAGTAATTCCAATTTATATATAATAAAAAACACATCGAATTAATTGATTGGCAAACCCATTGCCTTCACATAAATTAATTTGTTTTTGCTTCTCGGTATATCAGCTTCTATAAATACTTCTTCGGAAATAAAAATGCATGAATTTAATGAATATTTAATAATAGATTCCTGACTTTCTTCGGAATTATTACTTGCATCATCACTTTCAGATCCGCTACTTTCGTTTGAATAAATATTAGAATTGGATGGACCATAATCAATATCTAATTTGATTTCATGTTTCTGGCTCAGTATTTTATCGAAAGTTAAAAGATATTCAAAAGATAAAGATATTATTGAAGTTTGTGAAAAATTTTCTGGAATTTTTAGCAATATGCTTGCTTCTTTTGATTCAATTTGTCTATTTTCCATGCTTAATATAGATAACTTTCGTGTATGAATACTAAAAAAGTTAATTTCATCTGGCAATCCAACCAACATCCACATAATATGCAATTCAGACAGGTCAATATTTCTGTTAAATAGAAAAAATATTAATAATTATATCAAATTTATTTTATTGGATTTAAATATTATTCACTTACTTGATTCGGTCAAAATTTTCGATTATTGCTAAAAAGCCAGTCCTAGTTTCAGATTGGATTTTTACAAAAGCTATATCTATAGATATAGCTTCATTTGAATTTTCATTGATTCTAACAATCTTTGCAAAAATTTGATAATTACTGCTATTTAAATGATCGGAAAAGCTAATATGATAATATTTCGTATCCTCAATAATTTGCTCAATTCCTGTCATAAGTATTTTGTTCTCATTATTTATTCCTAAAATCGATTCGATTTCAGAGCAAATCGGTTCTTTAAAGATTTTATATAAAGGAAATAATTTATCTTGATTAATAATTTGTAATGTTTTAAAATCCTGTTCAAAATACACTTCTATCCATTTTTTAATATCTTCTTTTTTAATAGCTTCTCCATATGTTGACATTAAATATTTTATATCAAATCCATAGTTGCTTTTCAATAAAGTAAAAAGTTCATCTAATTTTGATAATTTTGATAATTTTACTAAAAATAATTCTTTAATTTCTAATTTTTGTCCATTAAAATTTTGTTCTTGTAATGAGAGATGCAATGTTTCATACAATTTTTCTCCGAGAATAATCTTTTGAGATAAAATATATCCATATTGAATGAATACTTTAATTAATTCTTGATATGGCCTCTGGTTATTTAACGCTTTATTTATTGCTGTCGTTAATTCTTCAGTTGGTCGCATAGTTTCTCTTTCAAAATCCAATACAACCTTTTGACATTTAATTTCTATACAAGTATCATTGACAGGAGAATTATTATTTAGCCAATCTGTTGACGTTGATCGTTTCATGATATTAATTAATTTAGGTGGCAATGACAGGAAGGAACTAGAATCTATATTATTTTCTAATAGAAAAGTTTCTTTTCTGTTTTTAGTTGATGTTATTTTTACTTCATAATTGTTAATGAAATTGATATTTGGATTTAGTTTAATATCAAATGCCGGATTTGCAGCAGCATGCATAGTTTGTGAATTGATAATAAAGCCATGATTTATTTTAAATGAGAGTGCCTCGTTTTTGATTTGATTAATTAAATGTGAAATTTGATTTTTAATATTCGTTTCTTGATTTATGTTTTCAGACTTTTCAGACTGTGGAATTTTATTTTTTATATTTGTTTCTTGATTTTTGTTTTCAGACTTTGAAATTTTATTTCTTATATTCGTTCCTTGATTGGTGTTTTCAGGTTGTGAAATTATATTTTTTATATTCGTTTCTTGATTTGTGTTTTCAGGCTGTGAAATTTTATTTTTCATATTCGTTTTTTGATTGGTGTTTTCAGGCTGTGAAATTCTGTAATTAGTTGAATTATGCATCGTTATAACATAACCAATAGAGGTATTTAAATTTTGAGACACATTTCCTAGTGATCTGACGATTGGATACTTCTTATGAATGTTTAAAAGAAAAGGATTATCATCATCCGAACAATGAATACTTGCAAATATACATGTTGGAAATGGATCCAATTGCCATCGTTCTCCAGTAAAAGTACGGCTATTTCTTAATAGAAATTCAGGTCTGCAAGATCTATATTTCAAATTATGATTGACTGGGTTAAAAACTCTGAATAAACCAGGTGTGTTTACAATAATAACATAATTAATTTCGAAATTCAATGTATGTTTAATTTGTTCATTCAAGAGATCATACTGATAACAACATATATTTGTAGCATTATCTGGTTGATTTCTGCGGAAATGATAACTAATAACATCTTTAGATCTTCCAAAATTATATGATTGATTATTATTGCATCGTAAAGTACACGTTCCGATCCAGCAATAATCGTAAAAATCTAAAGATGGATGTTCAGTTATATGGATGTTACTATCACTTCTATTGAATTGACATTCTTTAGTCCAAATATAATCAATAGGAAATTCTGAAAGTGGTCCTATTGGTAGATCTTCTGGATAGCCAATTAACATGTAAGGAATTGAGAGGTTAAAGAATTTTCTTGCTGGACCAATTCTATGTACTACTACATATGGATGTTCATCATCCATATATTCAACCCTAATTCCGAACACATTACGGTATGGCCTTTGATTATTCATTATAATCACAGAAGTAAAAATCTTTACATTTTTAAATGTTGAAATTTCGTTTGGCTTCGGTATATTCATGGTTTTACTACCACATTTTGTTGAAATATGAATGGTTAAATGTGAAGAATACAGTAATGTCATTCCGATGACTTCTTTTATCTTTAAAATGAGATCCTGCGGCAATAAATTGAATAATGGTAGTAATTCAGATTCAGGTTGCTCAATAATTTGCCAATTTTGAAAGTTCTTTAAATTTCTCAATTCGTCAAGATTATTTTCTTGATCATCATCCAGGAAAAATTTACCACCGAGTCTAGTTTCTTTTGGCCTATTTAATTTTAAAATTTGTTAGAATAGTAATATGAAAAAACTTTTAATTGTAAATATTTGCAACTAACCAGAAATATCCGTATTCTTCTCCTACCCTATTTAGGGCATCTCTTCGACTTGGATTATCGTTGCACTTTAATGCATTTTTGACCGCAGTAATATATTCTTCAGTGGGTTCCAAATCTTCCTGCAACAACCGAATAAAGCCCTTTTTACAGACAAGTATCTTTCTTCTGGTATGTTCTATACTGTGCTGTTCAAGCTTATTTTCAATGACAACCTCCATCATGTGCTGATTTTTTATGGAATAAGCTTTTTTCTTCGTTGCTATGATAGTACCATCGTTCAACTTTTTACATCCTTTATCTAAATTAAGGTTTTGAACAATTTCGGGAAAACTGGGCATTTCTAAGTCTTTATCTAGGTAAAAAGTAAAAAAGCCATCCTGCACTTGTTCATTTGTCGGAGTCAAAATATCTTTGAGTTTACATTCAGGTTCTCGAGCGAGTGATAATTTGCTTCCGGATACATTTCGAAAATTTGTGTTTTGTCGACCAATTATCAAGCCTTTTTTGTATAGGTATTCACGCATTTGGTCCAATGACATTGAAGGAAAATCATTATAATTTGGCTCTTCTAAACTAAATGATGTCGAAGTTCCATCACTCGAGACCACTTCTACCATTAAACTAAGCGTAATAATATCCTTAAAAAACTCCATACTTATACATATCTACTATTAAAAATATAAACACAATAAATGCATATCTATTTTTATTGTTAATTCTATAATACACAAGCACAAAGTCGTATAACCCGTTTTTTCAAGAATTAGGCCTAGATTTTACTAATGAATCTACAGTACAGTATTAGTATATGCAGTTGGATAGTATCAACTGTATATCCATGAATATTAAAAAAATTTTGATTTTATAATTATTAAATGGGTATATATACCGTAAATTTTAGGTAATTTTTTTTTTTACGAAAAATTCTGAAATTTTACTAATTACAACAAAATTTCATTAAAAGGCCACAGAAAATCACAAAATTTACTTTAAACCACAAAATTTATTGCTATCAATCACATCACAAAAATCATCGTCCAACCCTATTTTTTTTTTTTTTTGCTTATACGTATCATTAACGATAAGGTATTTTGAAGTATTTAGAGTTTGTGAAACGAGAAAATATTTGCTGCACAAACATTATGTTCAATAAATATACGATAAAGTCCCCTCTAAATAATAACAATATGGATTACTTTAATTCTTTATTTTTTTTTTTTCTTTTCTTTTCTTTTTTTTTTTTTAATACCTAGTAGGCTAGGACGCCGGTGGCGCACTTTTAATTCTTTTTTTAAAAAAAGCATTACCATTTATATTGATGAAAAAAAATCAAAAACATGCTCCCTATATCTTACATATAAACTTGCAAAAATTCGCGAAATAATCAATAACGACCATAAAATTACCAATAATGATTTTGTTTTCAAAAGTAAAAATGGAGATATAGTAAACCGTTCTGACGAAAATTCTGATAATTTGTCAACCATTTTAGATAATAACAAATTATATATCTCTACACAACAAGAATTTAAATTTAAAATTGACACTGAACAGTTCATCGAATGGTTAATACCGGATATGACACTTAGAGATGTACGAGAAAAGTTAGCATATGATAGAGTAGATCGAAAAACTGAAAAACTTCAATTTAAAACAAAAGATGGAACAACAATTAATCATAAGAATGAATATCGTTATAGCTTGATTAATATCCGTGATGGTAGTTCTATAATCCATATGCGGAATCTACTAAAAAAGACTAACATTATGATTGATGAAAATGAATTAACATACTCATTAGATCCAGAAGATAAACTTGAAGAAATCCGCCAAATCATTATTACTAAAGGAATCACTAATAAACAAGATTTTGATTTTAAACGACATGATGGAACGATAGTTAAACGTCCTGATGAAGAAAATTCCATTAATTTATCAAAAATTTTGAAAAATAATACATTATATATTTCTACTTTACAATACTCTCGGGTCACTGTTTGCTTTACTAATAATAATGACCTCCTTAGCTCAGTATTACCCAAAGATAGAAAACTTTCTGAAATCCGGAAAAAATATGAAACTGCCAATCAAGATTTCTATATTGGTTCGAATAGTTACTTTTTAGAACAAGATGAAAAAACAGTTATCCCAAAATCCCAAGAAGATGAAAGAATATTAAAAGAAATTTTAAAATTTAAAGATAATAAAAGTTATTTATATATTGTCCGAAAAAAAGAAGAGCCTGATTGGATAAAATTTGATAACGAATACAAGCATGTATTTATTATTGAAAGAGATTTGGTGAAGCAAGTTAGCATAAATAATGTGTTTACGATTAAGGAAAAAGAAAGAAAGGGTCAAAGTAGACACATTGAAAAGAAAACATTTGAGTGCAAAAATGAATTTCAAGAGTTATGTTATAGAAATTTTATTGACTTTGGAAATGTTACTTCTATTTTACCATGGGCTTCTATTTGTTTGGGACTTGATAAAGAAACTTTGTCTAAAAAATTAAAATGCTATAATGAAAAAATACAATATTCATATATTAAAAAAATATGTGCAAAAATGACAATTAATAAGGAAAATATTTGTCTAACTCCTGAATTTAAAGATGATGTTAAGGCAGCGTTAAATGAAGAGACCCAAGAAGGAAAAATAGCAAAACTTAGAGATATAACAAAAAAGTATGGATATTTTTATGCAAGTTCAATCTGCTTTGGAGGTGTTGCTGTCCAGAAAAATGGAGACATGAAAAATTCAGGTTTAATATTAGCAATATATTGTATTTTTTTATTCGATGATTTTAAATAATTTTTATTTTTTTAAAAGATGAAAATGTAACCACCAACCACCTAGGTATGCAAAGTTCGGCTGGATTTCCAGGAGCTAATATGCAAGGAGGTGTATCTTCGGAAATAGGAAGTGACACCAGAATAGCGGCTAGTGAAACCCATTCTAACCTTATTGTAAAAGGCGGTAACGTTGCAATTTTTAAGTTTAATGATCCTGTTGATTGGATTAACTCACTTATAGAAAGTGACACGTGGGAAATAATTGAATATGAAGAAGTCAATTCAATATTTGATTTACTTGAAGGCGAATTGCGCAAAAATGTTTTGGAAGCTTTAGGAAAAAGAATTCTGAAAGGTAATAAGGTTTTATTATTTTTCATAAACTTATCAATATAACGCTACTTATATTTGTATTTTGTTTATATCTAGCAAAAATTGAATCAATTAAATACCTCACAAATAAGGATGAGCCACTTGCACATCCATTAGGAAACCAATTGGATGATATTCCTAATATCAATGAATGCGAAATAT